ACAACCCCGAGATCAAGAGTCACATACTCCACTGATGAGTGATCAAGCCAGGCACCCCTACCATTTTAACCATTTGAAATTGTTCACTTCTGGGGCACCTGGGTGGCTCAGTCAATTAAGTGTCTGACTCTTGATTGCAGCTCAGGTCATGATCTCACAGTTGGTGAGTTTGAGCCCCGCGTCAGGCTCTGCTCTAACAGTGCAGAGCTTGCTTGGGAGTCTCTCTCTCTCTCTCTCTCTCTCTCTCTCTCTCTCTCTCTCTCTCTCTCTCTCTCTCTCTCTCTCTCTCTCTCTCTCTCTGCTCCTCTCCTGCTTGTTCACTCTTGCTGTCTCAAAACAAATAAACATTTAAATTGTGCGATTGTGTGGCATGAAGCACATTCCCATTGTTGTGCAACCACCACCACCATCCGTGTCCAGAGCTTTTTCATCTTCCCAGACTGAATCTGTCCCCATGAAATGACAGCTCCCCATTCCTCCCTACCTCTGGCCCTGAGGGTCTGTTCCTGGTCTGTGCCTGATCAGCTTACCACCACTAGAGACAACCTCCCTTCCTCCATTCTGCCTTTTATTAAAGTGTTTGGTTTTATCTTCCTTATGAGTGAACCTCAAGGACGGAGACTCTCTAAGTGGATCTCTGTCTCCCTTAAAATTAGCACTTTTACAGTGAGCGTACGACGAGAGCTTCGTAAATGCTCATCATTGAGTACCGATTGGAATCGGGTTTGAGTGAGTTAGTAGGTTACACTCACTCAGGTTGGGACCCGTGAGAGATGCCACGAATGTCAGAAGTGACCAGATACCCCCTTCATAACAGACGTGGAGGATATGGTGGCACTAGCCGGGTGGATTTGCTGGCTCTCCCTGACCCGCCTTCGGGCATGGCCTCCTTGAAGGTTCGCTGGGTCTCCCGAGCAGATATCTTTGCTCCAGATGGCGGCCTTGCATTGGTCTGCAGGGGAGAGGGAAGAAAAAGAGGCCTTAATGAGTCCAGTGCCGATGACCTCTTCTTTATTTTTATTTTTATTTTTTTGCTTTGTTCTTGAAGTGTAGTTGACGTACAATGTTCTATTAGCTTCAGGGGCACAACGTGGTGTTTTGACAATTTTGCACGTTACGCGGTGCCCACCGTGGTAAGTGCCGTTGCCGTCTGTCGCCACGCGGCGTTATTACCGCATTATTGTCTGTGTCCCCTGCGCTGTGCTTTGCATCTGTGACTTACTTATTTTATAACTGGAAGTTTGTACCTCTTAATCTCCTTCACCTATTTCGCCCATCCCTGCACCCACCTCCCTTCTGGCACCCACCAGTTCTCCGTGTGTATGAGTCTGTTTCTGTTGTTTTTTGTTTGTTTTTTAGATTTTACATATAAGTGAAACCAAATGGTATTTGTCCTTGACTCATTTCCCTTAGCACAATACTCTCTGGGTCCACATCCATATTCTTGCAAAGGGCAAAAGCTCATTCTTTTTTTATGGCTGAGCGATACTCCAGTGTGTGTGACACACGTACCACATCTTTGTTATCTATTCATCTATTGATGGACACTTGGACTGCTTCCGTATCTTGGCTATTGTAAATGATTCCGCAATAAACATAGCAGTGCATGTATCTTGTCAGATTGGTGTTTTTGTTTTCTTGGGTAAATACCCAGTAGTGGAGTTACTGGATCATATGGTACGTCTATTTCTAACGCTTTGAAGAACCTTCCTACCATTTCCACAGCAGTCACACAAGTTTACATTCCTGCCAACAGTGCACGAGTGTTCCCTTTTCCCTGCATCCTCACCAACACCTGTTAATCGTCTTTTTCAGGCTAGCCATTCTGACAGGTGTAAGGTGACATCTCCTTGTGGTTTTGATTTGCATTCCCTGATGGTCAGTGATGTGGAACATCTTTTCCTATGTCTGTTGGCCATCTGTGTGTCTTGTTTGGAGAAATGTCTATTTCAGTCCTCTGCCCATTTTTCAATTCGTGTGTGTGTGTGTTGAATAAGTTTTTATTTTGGGTATTAACCCCTTTCCAGATATATCACAAGCAAATCTCTTCTTCCATTCAGTACGTTGCCTTTTTGTT